CTCTTCAGCCTGCTTTCAGGAATCGTGGGAATGGGTGGGTGGTGGTTCGGGTGACAAAGTTGAGACGGACGAAATGAAGACAGAAGAGAATGAAAGATTATCTGTGGAATATTACTGCCTCAGCATTTGCCTAGGTGATCCAAGGAAACCACAGAAAAAATTGCACCAAGGCAGACGGACCCGGAATCGAACCGGCGTCCTCCCGAATGCTAAGCAATCGTCTAAACCTGTAGGCGATGCCGCTCGGTTTCTACAGTCATCCATCCACAGTCACGACAGAATTCAGGGTTCAGTATGATCTAGCTGTGAATTTCCGAGCTATGAAAAACAATAGCTATGTCATATTGAGCCCGAATTCTGCCAGGGCTATCATACACGAAATGACCTCAATCAGTGTAAAACCATTTTTAATCACTTCTTGGCCAGGTATTAATTGTTGTGCCCGGTAGAGGTATCAAAATCGAATCAACTTCAAATTTGAATGATCTTTAAATCAAATTTAGAAACAAATATTTTTGTCGCCACCCGCGACCCATGACCCTCTTTGTTCCCCTTACCGACAGATTTGTTGAATTTATTCTGCCACAATTGCTGTCAAAGTTCGATTTCATTTTCCACATTTGAACAATCGGCACCTGACTAAATTGTTTTCAATTATCTAAATCTCCTGTCTTCCCTTGACGAAGCGCTTGTTCAAGATCCATGCACCCTCAGGTTTGCGTAACGTTATAAAATATGTTGATACCAAGTAACTGCAAAACTTGTGTTTATGATTAACAAATTTTACCTCAGTGTTTAAAAATTATAAATTGTATTTTCTGTTTGATTTAACGTTTAATTTTTTTACGTATTTAGTATTAATTATTTTCTGAAAAAGGAAAACAAATTTGAAAAATATCATAAGGATGTTTCCGTCTGAAGTAGGTAAGATTTTATTTTATTTAAAAGGTATAGAATTGAGTCGCCTTCAGTAAAAAGAAGTCATTACTATGGTCGCGAACGGTTAATTTAGAAATTCGAAAAAGATTGTTAAAGGTATGTTTGGAGGGCGATGTACAGGTGCGAAACATGGACGGTGGGCGTGGCGGAAAAGAAAAGGTTAAAACGGATGGAAATGTGATTTACAGGCGAATCATGAGGACGCCGTGGATAGAGAAGGTTAGAATTGAAGAGGTATTAGAAAGAATAGAACGGAGGACTCCATGGAAGTCAATAAGAAATAGGCGAGATAGGTTAGTAGGACATCTTCTCAGGCATGAATGTCTAGTCAAAAGACATATTAAAGGCAGAAACAAAAGTTAGGAGGAATAGAGGTAGATCTAGATTAAATTACTGTTCGCAAATAGTTAAGGAAGCGGGATGTTCTATCTTTAGGGAAATGCGAAGATTAGTTCAGGATAGGAAAGACTGGGGGTGCGTGTTTAACCAGCCTTAGGACTGACGACTTATGATTATGATGAAAAGATGTATTTTATGCATTTTTCTTTACTATAAGGTCCCATGTAGGAACTCCCAGTCTTGAACGACGGGGCCTAGCTTGGACTAACTCTGGGCAACCGAGCTTCGGCTCTTCAACGCCGGCCCAGGCCTGGGTCGACCTAATGGAACTTTTTTTTATGTTCGCCCAAGCTTGGGCCAGCCCGTGAGCAGCCGAACCTCGGCTATTCGATGTTAATCCAAGCTTGAGTCAGCGACGAACAACCAAACCTTGGCTATTCGATGTTAGTCTGAGCTTCAGCCAACCACGAACTTTTAATAATATATATCTTGTACACAATATTGTTTAGTTGTTGAAGGACAATTGATTTATTTTCAGAATTTTACGTTGTAGAATAAGATACCCAATTTTTATTGCTAACAATAGTTTAGGATTGGGCCAACATTCATTGCCAGTCATGGGCCAGTGCTGTACATCGAGATTGGAAGAACATTCACTACTAGTCTTGGCCCAGTGCTGTTTATCAAGCTTGGACCAACGTTTTTTGCCAGTCTTGGCCCAATGATGTAAAATAAGCCTAGGCCTTAGTTATCATCCCAAACTTTAATTGAGGTTGGGCCAAGGTGGGTATGCATCTTTGGGCCAAGCTCTAAAAGGATTGGTGCAGGCTTGAGCCAACGTTGGGCCTATCGTCATTTTCTACATGGGGTACCACGAATATATATGTAACAGTACTGTTTATTTCAATTAAAAATTGATATTTTTTTTGTTTGGTTAAGTCGTAATTCCAATAAGTATCTATATCTATACATATAATTAAAATTGAAGTATTTGTCCGTATGGGTTTTAATTATTTATCAAAAGGCTAAATCGATTTTGATGAGTCATCATAGATATAAGGAGGAGATTGTAATGAGTTATCGTAGCTTTTTTTTTAGACTTCTATTTTAATCGTATATTTCTTATACGAAATGCATTTCTTAAAAAAACGAAAAAATTAGTAAAACTTTCATTATACTATTTTTAATTTTAAAACTCGGAAGAAAACCTAACTACAGACACGTTTTAACCCTCTTCTAAGTATTAGAAATGGTGAAAAGCGTATAAACCGTGAACAAGTTTTGTGATAACTATATAGGGTGAGTCTCGTTTTGATTTATTCATTCCTTTACAACGGTCTCCATTTTCTACTTTATGTAAATTAATGTTTACAAAAGTTTTTGTTAAATTCCTCTATATCAAATGCTTTCGCATGCTAAATTACAGGAAAGGGTTCTGGTTTCAAAGACGAGTTTTGTGGATTATTTGTTAACAATAAATGTAACTTAAAATTCAAAAAAGTTGCTAATTGTCGGGCTCTTTATTAATTTCAGAATAAGTTGGAAATGTGACAGACTTTATACTATTTTTAATTTTAAAACTCGGAAACAATCCCAACTTTAACGTTCGCATGTTACGTCCTTTACTGTATCCGTTCCAGTAGTTTTGAGATACGTCCACCAAATCGCCTACCTTCAAGTCGATCTCATTGGGGTCTTCGGCTTTGTGGGGTACTACTGTGACATGATAATAACTATCTTGACCTCCGTAATAAAAAATATTATCCAAAGAACGAAAACGAGCCGAAGCGTCGGGATATTTGGTTTGCATTATTTCATAGGCAAGGCGACATACCTAAAAAATTTATTTAACCAAATTTACTAATAAATAAACTAATTAAAATTGGCAGTAGACTATTTTTTACAATAATAATTCAAATCTGTTTATTTCTTTTTAGCAAAAACAACGCCGTTAATCTGTATAAATAAAATATCATTATATAGATAATTTTTCTTATTGTCTTAAATATAGTTTTAATCAAAATAGTTCGTTATTAAATTATGTTTTCATTAAATTTTAAAATTAATATTGATGAAGAGTGATACTTAGTTTGTATAAAGAGCAAAAAGCAGTTCTAGAGCTAGGGATGCCACGTAGAGAAATAAATATTAGGAAGGGAGTCAGACAGGGATGTACACTGTCACCGCTACTTTTTAATCTATACATCGAAGACGCGATCAACATCATTGAAGACAGTACAACTGTAGGGATAGATATACAGGGGCAAAAAATTAGTATGCTTACATTTGCAGATGATATAGCAGTATTAGCATTTAGCAAGGAGGACCTAGAGATAGCATTAAATAAAATGGAAGCGATACTGACGGATCAGTGCTGTATGAAAATAAATAAAAGTAAAATTAAAATACTGGTATGCAAGGGAAGAAAAAGTAGGGAAAGAGCGAATATAAAGATAAGAGACGAAAAATTAGAAGAAGTGGCTGATTTTAGATATCTAGGAAGTCAGATAAGTCAGGACGGAAGGAGTAGTAGGGATATAAAGCAGAGGATAGCGCAGGGTCGTGTCGCCTTTAATAAAAAGAAGTCACTTCTATGCTCGCGNTGCAAAAATCAAATGATATGAAACCAATTGGAGATAAGATATCATTTTCTGAAAGTATTACACGCTTTTAAATATTTTTTTAATTACTACATATGTATGTAGTTTGAAAGTGGATTATTACATGAATTAACGATTATTCAGCAAAAATAATTGAAAAATAAATACTATATTAAAAATAAAGAAATAATATTTGTATAGCATATTTATATAGAGTATCTAAAATACGTATTTAGTCAAGAAAAATAAAAAAAATTATTTTAGGAAATTCACACATTACTTTTCCAAAAACAAACGTATTCCGCTGTTGAAACCAAATTTCAATCGTCAATATTAAAGCTTAATATCCTGATATGAGCATTTTATAAGTAACCAATTAAAAGGTGAAGATGCTTACTAAAGCCCCAATTGTTTATTTTATGATAGATGCTCGCTTTTATATTATTTTTTTACGAATCAGTAAAAAAAATCGAATATTTAACACTATTAGAAGTGTTATAACCTAAAACAAATCTTTTTATAAAAAAATAACAACACGATTTTTGGACACTTGAGAAGGTTAAAATTAAAGAATTAAGTTTACCACAACTAATAATTTAACTAAAGCATTACACATGCATACATGGTGGCTACTATGGCGTGTTTAAGTTGATAAACAATAGTGTGAAATTAATGTATTTTATTAAATCAATATTTCTCGTTTTTAAATCGTAAATCTTTGAAAAATTCGGGAAGAATACGAAAATATATCATAACTATCAAATTCAAACGGAAATTACAATTTGTTTTTCGCACCTGTTTAACATTTTGGTCGGCCATTTTATATCCGCCATTTTGAATTTTGTAAATCTGNATTCGTATTTTGTGTATTAAATTAGAGTTAACAGAAATTTATTAACTAAGGACTCAAATGACGCTCCCCGAACATCTGCTGACGCTAAAATAGGCAAATCTGACATCAAATTGGTAATCAGCATACCCAAAGACTCCTAGATTTTTATGATTTTTCCTTAATTAATTTTCGACCAACCAGTCTTAGGACTGACGACTTTACGATGATGAATAAACAAATAGTGATTTAGCGTACAACACCAATCAGTAGACTTTGAACTTTAACCTGCTTAGAACATATTTCAAAAGCTTTAAGGATTTTCATGCAGTTACAAATTATTCCTAAACAGTGCCTCTTTTTTTACGACTACGTTTACTCTACTAACTGCTATAAATCTGTCACGAAATTGTAATGCAAACAACAACAAAATTATCAAAAGTCATATACCAGTGATAAAAAATGATAAATTAAATAAGTTGTCATTATGTTGAAGAATTTAATGAAAAAACACCGTGCAGTTTATTCACGCTGTCGTACCTACTAATTAAAGGACTAATCCAAAAGGACCATTTATTGACAACAACTTCTTCAGGAGAAGTGGCGGAAATTTGGAGTTTCCATTTGAATTAGCCCTCTGACTATTAACAAATACCTTGACAACCTTAATTCAGGTATCTAATTTAAATATCAATTTTGGTAGTTATCATTATTAGTCTATTTATATTTTAATTAGGCACTCTAGTCATAAAACTTACCTGTGAAGAAAATGTACAAACTAGGTAGTCACTTTGTGATAAAAAGTGTATGTCTGATATAATTCCCTTCAGTGAATCTTCTGTATATCGAGTTTCAACAGCAGCAGAACTAGAAATTTTCGGGTCTCCTAAAATTTCATAATTTGGATACTTTTCTCTAGCTTCTGTAATTACTGTAGGATCGTCTGATGCAATATAAACTCTTCTAACATTATCCTCTGACATGTCCAGTGCATCGTAATAATCTTCAACTGCTGTCATGTATTCTTCAATGCTATGAAATGAGGCTTCTGTTCCAATTTTATCAGTCCGTCTAACGTGGATTCTATAAAAACAACAATACTAGTATGCTGTAATATACAGTGATTGATTAATTTACCCTACAACTGGTTTAGCAAAATTCATCTTTTTTGTAGCATCGTTTAACAGTTTTTCAGTAGCTTCCTGAGGCCTGAGGAGGTACTTTAAAAATTGACCTATCCACCAAATGACTGGATCACCATGAAGTCTAGCTAATCTAAGAACTAAATCTTTAGGAACAGCTGGAGGAATAAACTTAGGCTTTGGTTGAACATAATCAATTATTGTTAAATTGACAACCTGGGCGTCAGGATGCTCTATAATGAAATGGATGATACAATGTTTCAAACATTTTATTTATAAACTGACCGGACCATTCCTTAACTGATGCTCCACCTGGGTCTGTACAAGTATCACTTACAGGTTTAAATATTGTTTCCCAGCCTGCTTTATTGTATATCCAGCCCTTCGAATTTAAAATAAGGGTTCTTTGAGTGCCATAAGCAACTATGCTACAATATACCAAATGATGTATTTGACATCCATATCCGCATCCCTAAAGGGTTGGCGTATAAGTAAATGTTATTGACAATTCTTAAAAAACACAATAACAAATAAACCTTATTAATATTGCAAATGAGTTTTTTAGCATTTGCACAGTCAGAAGGATTTTGCAAATACTTAAGTCTTTCCTGGACAATATTACTTAAACTTTCTGCTTCTCTTTCTCTCCATTTTGCGTAACCATCAGCTTCTGATAGAAAATTAATGTCATGCAAAAGAGATCTAAAATAACGTGGATTTGTTATCATCAATTAATAAAATTTAGTATTATTACACACCGTGCATGTTCAAGTCCAAGAGTCATAATTTTATTAATTGAACTTGAGAAATCAGGACTAGCATTATTTGTGTCGTTTTTCAGTTTTTTTAGTTCCGAATTACTAAAATACCACCATTCTTTTATTCCATTTTCAACCCTCCTACGAGTTATTTCATATTGTGAATTGGGATCCTCCTTCTCAATAAAAAATTCGCTTTCAGGGTCTAAATTCGACTTTAAATCTCTATAAAATATGGCAAGTAAACATCTACATACAGTTTATTTTATCGTTGCTTACCCCACGTTAATATACTTAATGATTGTCTGAAGCTCCAAATTTTGTTTCCTTAGAATTTCTAAATCAGATTTGACACTCTTCAGCTTTTCTGCTGTGCTAGTATCGATAATTGTTTGGGAATGGGAATTCAAAAAGGGCAAAAAGACCATAAGAAGAAACACTAACCAGGCAACCATGCAGAAAACGAATAAACGGTTGCATCCTAATAAAACTATTTGCCTTATTAGTTCACTCATTTCAAAATCAACGATTATAATAATTAAAATTCCGCCGAAATGGAGTTTTAATTGCGAAGCATTGTAGCGTCCACGTGTTCGGTACTCGAACAGATAAGAAAACTTTTTTGTTTCTTCATTCGTCCGTTATTACAAGTACAATTTAAGTTTCAGAGTGGAGATGTGTTTCGGATCGCTTTTATCTTTTGAATATACGTACGCCGATTAAGACAAATGAGGATATATGCTTAAATCGATAATAGATCTCTAAGAACCGTTAAGTTTTTATGTAATATGTAAATAATCCATACTTTGAATTTAACAGTTACATAAAGGCTTTCGTTGATAATTTGGCATTCCATCGGCAGCGGCGTAACGATCCATTTTGGAACCCGGGGCGGAGATGATTAAATCCGATGTAGAGATGGACATTTATTAGTGTAGTACAAAAAGCTCAGGAAATAAAAGAGATTTATATTGGATTGAACCACATCCTGTGGCCACCCGATGTACGTGCCGTTCGATATAAAATTCGTGGGAGTAGAGCCTAAGTTGTATTGAAAACCACCAAAAAGTATTCCGAAAACTCGGATAAATGGCCATCTGGATAGAATGACTGGTAAAAAATAGGTTTTTCTATTTTACTTCTGTGGGTCCTTGTGCTTAATAAACGTACTAAAAAAAGATTTCTCCTCAGGGCTTGAAGGGTTCCCACAGGTCCTCGGGTCCAAGGCGAACCGCTTACCACTTCCCCCATCATCCCTCGTTCCGCCACTGTCCATCGGGCACTTTTTCGTTAAATGTTTGCCTTTCGAAAGTCTGAAAACTTTATCTGACACTAAAATCTTTTTCGGAAATACTTTAAAAGGTAATGAAAACCTTATCAAAGTCTATCAGTAATATTCAAGTTAATCGTAAACATGTTTATCTTACCTAATTATAATGTATGCTTGTAAAATTTACAAGCACATATTTTAATGTTCACTAACTAAAGCATTGATGGTATCTATTGGGTAACTACATTCCGTTTGTTTATTTAAGATGAATTTACATAAACACGGGTAAAAATTTATTTCCGATTCTTATATAAATTAAAGTATACATATGATTATTCTATACTTTAGTTGACTTGTTTTTGAAATGTACTTAATAGCAATCCACAGGGTGCAGTCTTTCCGTAGGTTGAAGGTGCATAAATGGTATGTGAAATTAAAGGTCCCGTTGGAAAAGAATTGTTGGAATAACAACATTGAATTGAATTTTGCTGTTATCTAGTAGTTGTTTCTAACAAAAAAAATGAATTTTAAACATCCTTGCATATACTGCCAAAAGTCAAATTTGGACGTTGATATTTTTGTATTGAGTTTACAAGAAATAATTTTCACACTGACCTTTGTACTTTAGATTGCAACAAATATCAGAAATGCACAACACATGAGTTGTTCTGACAAAATACAAGTTTAACTGTTCTCTGATATAATATTATCTTAACATAAGACGAAATATGTATTCAATTTTATTGTTCATCATTTTTTATCATTTTGGTTCCTTTATTTTTTGTTTGCAATAAAGTTGTATGGTTGATTACTGTCTTTTATTCTCAACATCTTTATGTAGATATAGGATCTGCTTATATATGATAAGCAATATTAAATTCTTGTATTTTTATAATTTTTCAGATCCATTGTATAAATTATTATTTTTTTCCATTACTTCTTGTAATTTAAATCTTTTCTTATCTTATTTATGATTATTCCCTTATTGATTGACGCTCCATGGAAATCGTAGCCCCTGTGGCCCAGTTCTAGGGCGTGGGTGGGTATGTCGTATGAGATCGCAAAAATTAAAATTTGTAGAGGGAAGTAAACTTTGTGTTTATAATAATCAAATTTTACTACTTGTTAACTGTACAATTTTTTAAAAAAATAAATGGTTGTATTTTCTATTTAAATTAATGCTTCGTTCTTTAATCAAACACCCTCTGAAAAATAGCACCGAAATATAATAAAGGTAATAATACCGATAACGCTCAATGAAGTTTTTTTCCGCCACTTCGAACGAATTTTTAAAAATATGATAAATAGGTTCCTCTGAAGTAAGTACAATATTAAAGCCAGTTTTGTAAGCTTTATACAATTCTTTCTTTACATTTTAATAAAGACGTATAGTTCTAAATATGCTACTGCAATTTTATAGCAGTTATTGAAATTAATAGTCACAATAAAAAAAGGTTGCTATCGTACAAAACAAAAAACTGATCCGACGGGACTTGAACCATGACGAAACTCTGGTACAAACTAGAGTGGGTGGATCGGCTTGCGAGTTTCGATGATTTAGGGAGCCGGACCATAGGTTCAACCATAATGGAGGGGTTCTTAAAGAGAAACCAGACTAAGACAAGTCCCTGAAAGAGGGCAGCAGCTCTTTCAGTACTCAGGGTGGCAGAGATCACGAGGATCGGTATGGCACTCTGATGCACAATACTGCGATGTGGAAGGCAACGGGAAACCACCACATTATGATCCCAAGTAAAACGTTCAACTACTGAAATTAAATGATGGCCTCCTCTGGGGTAAAGCACTCCGGACGTAAACTAGTCCCCCATTCGGATGTCCGGGCGGGGACTACCTCGGGGGATGTCATCAATAAGTGCAATAGGGATAGGTGCAATGTTTCACGAGTCGGAGCGTGGAATGTTAGGTCAATGAGGCAGGTAGGGAAATTAGAAAATTTAAAAATAGAGATGGATAGATTAGAATTAGATATAGTAGGTATAAGTGAAGTCCGTTGGCCCGAAGCTGGAGACTTCTGGAGTGGGGACTTTAGAGTAATACATACAGGATCTGTAGAAGGTAATTCAGGTGTAGGAATTGTAATGCGTAGGAAAGTAGGGCAGAGTGTAGAAAGTTATTTACAAAAAAGCGATCGGATAGTTATGGTTAAATTAAACTCAAAGCCGGTAAGAACGGTATTAGTGCAAGTCTACATGCCTACATCATCTTACAGTGATGAAGACGTAGAAGCAGTTTATGATAGAAAACGTGTTAAGTTTAGTGAAAGGACAGGACAACCTAATAGTTTTAGGAAATTTCAACGCAGTAATAAGTGAAGGTAAAGTGGGTGCAATAGCAGGTTCTTTTGGATTAGGCAATAGAAATGATAGGGGAGATAGGCTGATAGAATTTTGCGATAAACATAACTTAACCGTCGCGAATACTTTATTCAACCATCACGTTAGGAGACGTTATACGTGATGGAAGATGCCAGGTGATTTAGGGAGATATCAGTTAGATTACATACTTGTTAGGCAAAGATTCAAAAATCAAGTGAAGGACTGTAGGAGTTATCCAGGAGCAGATATAGATAGTGATCATAATTTAGTAGTTTTGAAGACCAATCTTAAATTCAACATTCTAAAAAAGACGGAAGGTAGGAGACGTCTAGACTAAGAAAAGCTAAAATGTAACGAAGCGCGTGATAGGCTAGGTAAAATCACAGACGAAATACTAATGGCGGCTGGAGAAGCGAATGACGGGCACATAGAGACAGAGTGGAACTGCATTAAAACGTGCCTTAAGTCAGTAGTAGGTCTTAAACAAAACGAAAGTAGGAAACCCTGGATAACAAATGGGATTGTAGGATTAATAGGCGAAAGGCGGAAATACAAAAACAGGACAGACGAAGAAGGGCAAAAAAGATATAAAGCTATAAAGTGGGAAATAATTAGGAAGTGTAGGGCAGCTAAGGAACAGTGGATTGATAGGATGTGTAAAGAAGTAGAAGAAAAGTTTGAAGTAGGTAAAACCGATGAGGCTTATAATATAATTAAAAGGAATTTTAGAGATGTAGGATACAGTAGTAATAATATAAGAAACGAGGCAGGGGTCATGTTGATAGAAAATGAGGAAAAGGCAGATAGGTGGAAAGAATATTTAGAGAACCTTTACGCAGGCCCTGAGTTAGGAGATATATTAGAGAAGGAAGATAGTGTGGAAATAGATGAGCTTGGTTATCCCATAATGAGAGAAGAGTTCGATGTAGCATTAAAAAATTTAAAGAATAATAAGGCGCCAGGTGTAGATGGGATACAGGGGGAAATTCTAAAACATGCAGGACAAGAGGTTAGAGATCGTATGTTTAAGCTAGTTAGTCACATTTACGAAACGGGGAAAGTCCCAGAGGATTATAAACGGAACGTAGTAGTAACATTACCTAAGAAGAGGGGCGCGGATAGGTGCGAGAAATTTCGAACAATTAGCTTAACTTCCCATGCGTCAAAAATCTTAACTAGAATTGTACAGAGGAGGATGGAAAAAAGGGCGGAAGAACTATTAGGGGAAGATCAATTTGGGTTTAGAAGAAATAGAGGAACGCGGGAGGCCATTCTAGCTTTACGGGTAGCAATAGAGAAAACGATAGAAAAAGGAAAGGGTGCGTACATAGGATTTGTAGATTTAGAGAAAGCTTTTGACAATGTTAAATGGGACAAGATGTTAAATATACTTAAAAATGTAGGGATGAATTACAAAGATAGAAGAGTGATACTTAGTTTGTATAAAGAGCAACAGGCAGTTATAGAGCTGGGGATGCAACGTAGAGAAGTAAATATTAGGAAGGGAGTCAGGCAGGGATGCACACTGTCACCGCTACTTTTTAATCTATACATCGAAGACGCCATCAACATCATTAAAGACAGTACAACTGTAGGGATAGACGTGCAAGGGCAAAAGATTAGTATGCTTAGATTTGCAGATGATATAGCAGTATTAGCATCTAGCAAGGAGGACCTAGAGATAGCTTTAAATAAAATGGAAGCGGTACTGACAGATCAGTACTGTATGAAAATAAATAAAAGTAAAACTAAAATACTGATATGCAAGGGAAGAAAAAGTAGGGAAAGAGCGAATATAAAGATAGGAGACGAAAAATTAGAAGAAGTGGCTGATTTTAGATACCTAGGAAGTCAGATAAGTGAGGATGGAAGGAGTAGTAGGGATATAAAGCAGAGGATAGCGCAGGGTCGTGTCGCCTTTAATAAAAAGAAGTCACTTCTATGCTCGCGAACGGTTAATTTAGAAATTCGAAAAAGGTTGTTAAAGGTGTATGTTTGGAGCACGGCGTTGTACGGGTGCGAAACATGGACAGTGGGAGCGGCGGAAAAGAAAAGGTTAGAAGCGTTCGAAATGTGGTGTTATAGGCGGATGATGAGGATATCGTGGGTAGAAAAGGTTAGAAATGAAGAGGTATTGGAAAGAATAGGAGAACAGAGGACTCTATGGAAGTCAATAAAAAATAGGCGAGATAGGTTGGTAGGACACCTTCTCAGGCATGAAGGTCTAGTCAGAGACATATTAGAGGCAGAAACAGGAGTTAGGAGGGGTAGAGGTAGACCTAGATTAGATTACTGTTCGCAAATAGTTAAGGATGTGGGCTGTTCTAGTTTTAGGGAAATGCGAAGTTTAGCTCAGGATAGGAAAGAGTGGAGGTACGTGTCCAACCAGTCTTAGGACTGATGACCTTATGATGATGATCGTACAAAAAGTAATTTTAGAAGAACTATTTAATTATCAGTTTTCATTTCACTTTTTAAAAATTAAATAGCTTCAAATTTATATAACAGCGCTCTCTTTAGTTAACTGTGATAAATGAAAGTTATCGAATCTGCCGCTGGTGTTGATTTCAATTCTTCTATGGTGTAAGTATATGCCAGTGTATGCCATGGTGTTCATGAGACCATAGATAATCATTAGCTTTTCTTATGTCAATTGTCTATCAACTGTCGAATGCTGGTCATGAAAATTTCCCAATTATTTTAATGCCCGTTTGTTTTGAATTTCTTAAATAACCGTTGATAAAAAGGAAGTTGTATTTTACCGAATTTTTAATGTAAATTAAGACGAAAATAATTAATATGGACAATAAAAGTAGAGATATCAATGTAAGGACTAAAGAGAACATTGTATGAAATAGTCAAATTCATTAGATTAATATGAGATAATTACATTATGTAGTTACATGATTGCGGACAGAATAAACAAGCAATTTATATAAAAAGATCTTATCTGCTCGAGTACCAAATGTACACGTGGAATTAAACAACAATGGTTTGAAACTAAAAAGAATTGCGCCAGGATTTTAACTTCGATTTTGAAATGAGTGCAATAATAAGGCAAGTGGCTTCATTAGGATGGAATCGTTTATTAGTTTTCTTTTTGGCTGCCTGGTTAGTAATTCTTGTGCTTGTTTTTCTGCCTTTTTTGAATTCCCAGTCCCAATCAGTTACTGATTCTGGCACAGCAGACAGGTTGAAAAGGGTCATATCTGATTTAGAAATCCTAAGAAAACAAAATTTGGAGCTTCAGAAGATCATTAAAGACATTAATTTGGGGTAAGTAGTAAGAAAATAAACTGTATTTAGAGACTTAATTATTTTTTTACAGAGATTTACAGTCTAATCAAAAACAGTCATTGGAAAAATTTAAGGAACGTTTGATCAAGACAGAAGACCAATTGGTAGATCCTGAAAAAGGATATACTAATGAGAAAGATGATCCTAATTCACAATATGAAATAACTCGCAGGAGGGTGGAAAATGGAGTCAGAGAATGGTGGTATTTTAGTAATTCAGAAATAAAAAAATTGAAGGACCACATAAATAACGTTGCTCCTGATTTGTCAAATTCAATTAATAAAATTTTGTCTCTGGGAGCTGAACATAAACGGTTTGTAAGAATACGAAATTATATTAATTAATGACAACAAATATTCATTACTTTAGGTCCCTTCTGCATGACATTGATTTTTTATCAGAAGCTGATGGTTATGCAAAATGGAGAGAAAAAGAAGCAGAAAGTTTAAGTAATATCGTACAGGAAAGACTTAGGTATTTGCAAAATCCCACTGACTGTGCAAATGCCAAAAAACTTATTTGCAACATTAATAAGGTTTAATTGTTATTTTGATTTTTAAAAATGATTATAGCATTAATTTGTGTACAAATTTACTAGGGATGTGGATATGGATGTGAATTACATCATGTAGTTTACTGTTTTATGGTTGCCTACGGTACTCAGAGAACTCTTATTTTAAAATCGAAAGGTTGGAGATATAATAAAGCAGGTTGGGAAACAATATTTAAACCTGTGAGTGATACTTGTACAGATCCCAGTGGAAAATCAGTAAAAGAATGGTCTGGTGAGTTTGTGAATAAACTTTTTCAAACAATATACCTATGTTAAATTATTGATTGAATCTAATTTCGTTGGTGTGCAAAATTCAAATTGTAAAAAATGACTCTAATCTCGCCAAATAACCAACGATGTGTTCTATATTTGAAATTTCTTTATTGTAAAAGTATAAAAGCGACGTTTCGACTGTCTATTTCAGTCATTTTCAAGCTTGAATTTCTATCATTGCTTGCATCTAATGTCGACTAGTATCACAATTGGTTTTAACAAGGGTTTTCATATTAATATGAATTCATATTATACAATAAAGAAATTTCAAATATAGAACACATCGTTGGTTATTTGGCGAGATTAGAGTCATTTTTTACAATATACCTATGTATTTTCTGTTACAATTTAGTTGGATACAAGATGTTATTGTCATTTAATAGATTATATTATTTTGTTCATAAACATGAGGCATTTGTTATTAATTTATTTTTAATTATTGATAATAGTTTATTTAAGGTCTGTAAATCAAAGTAATTTAATTCATTTTAGGGCATCCTGATGCTCAGGTTATCAGTTTACCCATTATTGATTATGTTAACCCAAAACCACAGTTTCTTCCTCCAGCAGTTCCTAAAGACTTGGCTCTTAGATTAGCTAGACTTCATGGTGATCCACAAGTTTGGTGGGTAGGTCAATTTTTAAAATACCTTTTTAGGCCTCAAGAAGCTACTGAAAGACTGTTAAATGAGGCTGCAAAGAGTATGAGCTTTGTTAAACCAATTGTTGGGTAAATTAAGCAATCACTATACACTACAACTTACTAATATACTGATTTACAGAGTCCATGTTAGACGGACTGATAAAATTGGAACAGAAGCCTCATTTCATAGCATTGAAGAATACATGGTATCAGTTGAAGATTATTATGATGTACTGGAAATGAAAGAGAAAGATGTTATTAGAAGAGTTTACATTGCATCAGATGATCCTAAAGTAATTACAGAAGCTCGAAAGAAGTATCCAAATTATGAAATTTTAGGGGATCCTCAAGTTTCTATGTCTGCTGCTGTTGAAACTCGATTTACTGAGAATTCACTGAAAGGAATTATATTAGACATACACTTTTTATCACAATGTGACTACCTAGTTTGTACGTTTTCTTCACAGGTGAGATTTAAAATAGTTAGGTGTGTATATGTATATATAGATTAGACACTAGAGCAATTATAATAGAGATAGACTCATAATGATAATTATCAAAATTCGGTCTATCTCGTCAATCGTCGGATTTCTCCGTCCGACCGTCAACACTCGACATTCTAATTGCATATTATTATTAGAATTTTCTTAATTACATACCATATATAAATTATTAGAGAGAAGTATGAGGAACAATAAGAAAAACATTTTTTTAAAATTTATTCTTTTCACAGTTATGGGGACAATTTTCAATACTCTTATCAATCCTAGTACTTTTCTGCTACTTTCTTTTTTTCTAAAAACAATGGACTCGATTTTAATTTTAGTCATTAAATTTAATTATTTCAGGTATGTCGTCTCGCCTATGAAATCATGCAAAATAATTATCCAGATGCATCGGCTCGTTTCCGTTCTTTAGATGATATTTACTATTATGGAGGTCAAAATCCTCATTACTATGTCGCAGTACTACCCCACAAAGCGGAAGGCATCAATGAGATTGACTTGAAGGTTGGCGATTTGGTTGGTGTAGCAGGAAATCACTGGGACGGCTATAGCAAAGGACGTAACATGCGCACTAACCAATTAGGTTTGTTTCCAAGCTTTAAGATTAAAAATACTGTAGAGTCCGTCGCCTTTCCAACTTATTCAGAAATTAATGAAAAGCGGGACAGTTAGCAACTTTTTTGGACTTTATATTCGATTTGTTGTTAACATTGACTTTATTGTTGTTGGCTTTATAAACATTTACAAAATATGGTAATTGTTTATGATACGAAACCCACGGTAGGAATGAGGGCGGAAGACTGAAGGAGGTTGGATATCACCAAAAAGGTATTTTTCCGCACTTTTCATTCATTTTCACCATCCAATTTTTTTGCTCCTACCTCTGATCGTAAACCCTCCACCCCTAAGTGAAACAGTTAGTTATATACAAGATCATGCCCTACCCCATCGACGCAGTTCCCTCTCCCTTCTGACTGTGGGTTGTATATTGTAATTATTTTAACTTTAAGTTATTTATAGAAAAATGTAATAATTAAATTACAAGTTTTGCTCTTTTTGTTATTCTATTTAAATTATACTTACTTTGATATATACAGAACATTAATGCTTTATTACTTATACTGGAGTTACGGCTCATTCAATGAACGTAGGAATTTTTATTTATATATATAAATATAAATA